TTGCCAGGGGGGCTGATAAGGGGGAAACACTTTGCTGTAAATTCGCACCGTCGAATTTCTTATGCATTGGCTTTAATTCACGTGGTCCTTTCTCCTGGCTCCATCCAATGTGTCGGTCTGGGGTTCTGTGCTTTCCCCTTCCATAGAAATAATGTGGATATCTTTGAAAGGTCAGGTAATTTCTTTATGCGAGCTCTTTATTTATGTGGGATACATATTCAGAGCCTCCACATTTAGGACAGTAAGTGCTGCATGCTTAAATCTAATAAAAGTTTGAGTTGGGTGACCGAGCAGCAAATTATTGGATTTTCCATAAGAGCCAGCCTCCACGCGCCGGAGTGGAGGTTAAGCACAAAGAGCAGGTCAAAAACTATCAGCATTTCAACAAAATAGTTAATTAAATTCAAATAGCAAAAGAAAAAAAAAAACCACATGGTTTCCTTATAATGAAAATTTTCATGTAACATTTAACTGGCAGAAGGAGCGGCCAATTCCATTTACGTTAATATTAAACTAGCATAGTTTTGCTTTTAGCTTAATCACTAAGCAACCAAGGTACCAGAACAATGCAGGCCATCCGGCAATTATCACACAAACACGTCTGGGGCTGAATTCTGACGTTGCACCACTAAAATCCATGGAGATTTTCCCGAGAGTCCCATGACAGGAGAATCAAGGATATAAAAACTGACATATGATTACATGTTAATTGGTCCCAATCCCATTCGTGGTTCCAGTCCCACTCAAAGCCTTTTAATTCATGGAAGAGTTGGGCAGAAATTATAGCACCAATTATTGCTAAGAGGTACCAAGGTGCATTACTTGATATTTATTATTAACAGCATCTTTTAAAGCAATTTTCATCCTAAGGATCTCAAAGCTTTTACACATTAATTAATGAAGAGCCTCACACGATCACTCTGAAGTAGGCAAATATTATTCCCAACTCACAGATAAATGAGGAAGATGGGAATTAAATTACATCCCTAAATTTACGCAACAGATAAAAGACACCTCTTCCCAACAGGGAGAGCAGACCTTAGGCGATGGCGGGGTCTTGCAACCAGTGAATCCATCTCCTTGCTCAGAAAATTGGAGAAAATCTACAGTTTGCCACAGCTCTGTGCAAACGCAATCCGAGCAAGTGTATTTACCAGGGATGCTTTCACTAGGAAGCAGCTTAGCCTACGGCTGGGAAGGAGTTAAAGTATAAAGGATTACAACATCTGCAGAAGATCTGCTGCCAGGGTTAACTCGCATGGCTGCTTTGAGTATTTTTGCCTCTTTTCATCGGGAATAGCAGACCAGCATTCTCTTTCAAAAACCAGCTCTTCCATTTGGATGTGCTTTCAAAAACAAGACAGCTTTTGCTTGCAAAATTAGCTCCCTGTCCAGCATCTGAGGCATGAATTCGGAGAAATAGCTTAATTTTTACCAAGCAAGTGCTTAAAGCAACTCTTGATATATGGGGGAAGAACACAAACGCTAGCTCTCTCTTGCAGCACCATTAAATATTTATTAGTCTTTCCGAGACAAAAATACAAATGTAAAACTTGGCTGGCTCGCACCTCCCAGATGGGCTCAACTTTGATGACCCCTGATCTTACAGGTTGGAGCGAAAGTTTGCAGCTGATTCAGGAGAAGTAATTGCTTCGTGCTGGAGCTCCTGGGCTTCTCGGCGGCTTATTGCAGCGGCACGGTACTGATGCAGCGTGCTTTGGGGGCTCAGTGGGTTTGGGGTTTTTTTTGCTTGTTTGTTAACTAGAAATGGAGCAAGGGACTCTCCAGGCAGAAGAAAATATATTGAGCTTTTGAAGGGAATAAAACACATTTTCCTGAGTCTTCACATCCTCAACTCACACAGGAAACGCAGAGTGAAGCTAACTGGGATTTTCTGTTTCATTTGTTAGCTGTACAATTGGGTTTTTCTTTTCTTATTAACTGAAAATCTTCATTGCTGATAAGCTGCTGCGATAGCAGATACACTCTGGTCTCCCCTAATTGCTTCTTCTGCATTTATGAAGATAATTTTTGTTTATCTCTCATGAACTCTAATTAAAGCTTGCAGAGGTTTTACACACACACATACCCCCTACTCAGGAATATACATCACGTTTTAAGTGACACAAAATTGTCATCTTCTCTTCGGCGTTCAACAGGACTCTGCATTTTAGAATGATAGAATTGTTTAGGTTGGAAAAGACCTCTAAGATCATCAAGTCCAACTGTTAACCGCTAACCCTGCCATTCCATCACTAAACCCTGTCCCTAAGCACCACGTCTACCTGTCTTTTAAATCCCCCCAGGGATGGGGGCTCGACCCCTTCCCTGGGCAGCCCTTTGCAGTGCTTGACAGCCCTTTTGGGGAAGAAATTTTTCCTAACGCCCAATCTAAACCTGCCCTGGCACAACCTGAGGCCATTTCCTCTTGTCCTATCACCCATTACCAGGGAGAAGAGACCAACACCAACCTCACTACAACCTCCTGTCAGGACGGTGTAGAGAGTGATAAGGTCTCCCCTCAGTCTCCTTTTTTCCAGGCTAAACAACCCCAGCCTTCTAAGACTTGTGCTCCAGACCCTTCAACAGCTTTGAAATTCTCTGTCCTGGACCACCTGCCCAGAGGTGTGAGAGCAATTTGTGAGTGAAGGGGTCCTAGAAATCAGAATTTTTGAATTACCTGGGTATGAGCTCAATTTGCAATATCCACTACAGCTGCAGAGATTTGCCTGCAAAGATCTCGGCTTCTTTGTGCATTTTCTCTTTTAACCAGTCTTGGTTTCCCTCTGACTTAAAGAAAGGTGTCTATCTTGTTTCCTCAAGTGCTATACCCTTTCATATATATAAATACACACACACACATATCTGTCTATCTATCTCTATTTCTCCCTCTTGGAAGCACAGTGCTGAGTTGCTGCTATACAACATCCAACTTCGACCTCTCCACTGGCATGACCTTTCTCTCCTGCTGACCTCCACAACATAATGAAAACATAAAAGTCAATACTAATTTCTAAGCATTTAAATGAACAACAGACCTGTTAAGAATCTCATTCCTGCACCCTTTAAACATGAGGTTGTGCTCTCCTCTTTGTACAAGTGATTTTTTTTTTTTGAGTCTTCTACTCTTGAAGGGTTGCAATGTTGAAAGCATTTCTGAGCTTTCAGCAGCAGTATCATAGCTAACTCAGAATAATGAGCATTTTCCAGTACCAAAGGAGAGCAAAATAAGAAAGAGGGAGAATGAAATCAGAACCAACCCAGTGTCACTGTGCTGAACCATCTTGCACCCAATGCATTACCATCACTCCAGTCCTACAGGACTTGGGTGGTGGCAAATGTAATGTTGTTTTTCAGTACTGTTATTTAGTGATACAAATATTTTGTTGCAGCGATGGTCAGCAAGAGAATCCATCCTTTGCATGGTCCCAGCTCGGGTTTGTCCCCCACCATGACAGAGTTTTCTACCCCTCCCTAAGTCCTGCTTCATTTCCAGACGCAGATCATTTAAGATGATCCCCCCCCCATCCCGATGCTCAGCCCTGCAATATGGTGACGGTCTCCTCCCTGTCTTGGAAATTGCCTTTTTCCCAATGCCCCACCCCAGCTCTGTAACCCCAGAGCAAAGCGTGTTGAGAACCACGACACACACTGTGCCGCGCGGGCAAGGAGCAAACAGAGACATGGCACCGCGCCGGAGGGGTGGCAGGAGCCTCAGCAATGAGAAGCATGAGGAACCAGCTGAATTTAGATTCTCTTCATGATGCAGACAGTCATGTTTTGTATGGACAAAGACTTAACACATTCAAGATGTCTTTTTCTTTCCAGTCCCAGGGGAGGAAGGGAGCGGAGGCGGCCAGGGTACAGCTGTAGCTAAACGACCACAGTGACCCTCAGATGACAACCCTGCCAAGCAATAACACTGAAAAATGTACAGTGACAACTACTTTTACTTGGCATCCAAGCACCAGGCTGATCACATGGATTGGTGTTAGATTAAAAAGCAGGGCAAACTTCCTTTTCCCGCACCAGCTAAACACTGAGAGCCCTGTTGGTGCCACATGGCTACTCCAGTGTAAGACGTGGGGTGAAGGATGGAGAGATCAAGAGAGTCAAAATTACAGCAACAATAGGCTAAACCAGGCCCTGAATCAGCCAGGTCCACCCTGCCTAACAGACCAGGTCAGCATGGACTGGTTGCAAGGCAAGTTTTCCAGATTTAAATAACTGGAAATAAATTAAATTTAAATACTCGGAGAAATATGATCTTCAAATCTAGATTAGCTTCTCCTTCACTGGCAGAAGACACCTAAAACAGATTGGTTTGAACCATGCAGGGCTTTTGGCCCCTTCAGGCATGCATCAGGAGTTGCACGAACCCCACCTTTTCCCCCATTTATACACAGGAAATTTTCGCCATCGCTTCGCTAACTAAATGGCATCACACATTGCGGAAAGCCTCTTCCTTACACCAAAAATGAAGGGCAGAGAACGTCAGCCTAAACCCCCTCCATATGAATCCATAAATTACAGGTGGTTAAAACCAGGCGATGAATACACAGAGAGCCCAAGGTAGAACATTCGAGAGGATCACAGCTCCCCATGAGCCCAAGGTAGAACATTTGAGAGGATCACAGCTCCCCGTGAGCCCAAGGTAGAACATTTGAGAGGATCACAGCTCCCCGTGAGCCCAAGGTAGAACATTCGAGAGGATCACAGCTCCCACCGAGCCCCAGCATTTGCGGGCGACTGACGGCGCGCAGAGCTGTGCCGGCATAGAGGGCAGCATGCACGTTACAGCCCACTTGCTGTTTTAAGGGTATCTTTGATCTCCCCTCATTATACAACACATCATCCTCCACATAAATTGAACTGATGGAGGCAGTCCACAAATCAATTCTTCCTCTCCCCAACCATGAAGAGAGGCAGTGGGCTGTCAGGTACGCGTTTAGGGACAGGCACCGCAAACCGGGCTCGTGTAACATATGCTAATGATGTCATTAAACACAACGCGGTCCTTGATGAAGCTTGCTGGGTTCTGCGTTTTATCTCCTCCTCCTTCAACAGAAGCGAGAGTCTTTTGTGCTCCCTTTCAGACCAGACCGAGAGGGATCATTAGAAGATGGGCTGCTGGCTCAGAAGAGGCTAAGAGGATTTCTTATGGAAATGGCACGGCACGATTAATGTAAAAAATACAAGGTATGGTGCAGCAAGCCCCTCCTAAACACATCCTGATTTTACCTGAAGCTTTTTTCCAAGCTGAGCCAACTCACGAACTGTGAATGCTGACGTACATGAACGCCAATTTACAATTGCATTTTGATAATATTCCTTAACAGGGAATTAGCGCCGTATCAATTCTGCGTCCTCCAAAACACATCGGCATGGCGAGGATGCTTTCAAAACTCAGATAATGTAAGTTTATTGAAAACAAAGAGCAAATCATAGAATCACAGAATCGTTTAGGTTGGAAAAGACCTTTAAGATCACCAAGCCCAGCTGTCCCCCTAACCCTGCCATCCCACCACTAAACCCTGGCCCTAAGCACCTCGTCTGCCCAGCTTTTAAATCCCCCCAGGGATGGGGACTCAACCCCTTCCCTGGGCAGCCCCTTCCAGTGCTTGACAGCCCTTTCTGTGAAGAAATTGTTCCTAATGTCCAACCTAAACCTGCCCGGGCGCAACTTCAGACCATTCACCTCATCCCATTGCCTGTTCCTTGGGAGCAGAGCCTGACCCCCCCGGCTCCCCCCTCCTGTCAGGCAGTTGTAGGGAGCGATAAGGGCTCCCCTCAGCCTCCTCTTCTCCAAGCTGAACACCTCCAGCTCCTCCAGCCACTCCTCATAAGACTTGTGCTCCAGACAAATCCTCCCTTCCCTTCTCTTCTTCTTGATGCTAATACAACCCACTGGCATGAAAATAAAGGTCCTGGGGTTTTGTTCCCTGCACTCGGTCTGCTAAAAGCCTGAAGAGGAGATGATGGGAAGAGTTTAACCAGCAAGTGAAATATTGCAACATGGCTGGTTTTATGCAACAGACCTCTGTAGAAAATAAGAATTATTTTTAAAGGTCAGCTGATGAAATAGCACTGCTCTACATAGTTCTGCAGCGATTATCACAGCCGTCTTAGTAATGGCCTGCCTTGGAAAGATGGCAGAGACCACCGAAGAAAGGATTGTAATATAAAAGAGCTCAAGAAATTACATTTTTTTCCAGGTGAGAAAGGGAATGGAGGTCAACATTAAAGAAAAAAACCAAAATAAACAGCTGGTGGGATGTTGAATGGCTAAACTAAGCCACACCAAGTAGGTTTTCCTTTTTTTTCAGAAACAGAAGGACTCTCTCTCACCTGAAATGATTTATTCACAGGATCCCAGTGTCAAACTTAAAAGGCTTACGGTGGTGACAACTCAAATCCTCAAATATTTTCCAAAGGAAAAAACAGGGCAAAATCCTCTACCCAAACTACCATCAACTTTCAGCCATAGCTACAGAGCTGTCATGGTAAATGTTTATCCCACCGGTTAATGAGAGCTGGAGCCATTTTATTCAGGTAAAGTGCTAGAATATAAAATTTTAAAGGAAAAAAAAAAGTAAATAAAAAGGTTCTTCCCTCTATGATTTTTGGGCAACAACCATACTATTTTGTTAACAGCTTAGGCTAGAAGTACCACCAGGTTTACTTTCTTTTTTCTCACCTAAGAATGAACTGAAGCCCTCAGCAGAGAAGCAACTGAGTATCTCTACATCCTCATGCTCTCTTGCCTGTCAACAACTGAAATCCAATTAAACTTAAGCCGGGTGCTCCACGATGTTACTACGCTAATCTTGTTCTTGAGTCATGGTTTGTGGTATGACTGCAGCTGAGAAGTCCACTCCAAACTGAAAGATTGCTGCTGTGTCTATTTGTTCCTTCTATAATGACCCCCAAGAGGCCCCGACGATTATCACAACGCTGTTGGGGAAGGAACTGAATGAAGAGATGGTATTTCTCCCAAAGAACTTAAAATCCGCTTGAGGTCAACTGAACACTTTATGGAAGAAACTGAATGTACTGAACTTCTGAAAGCTTGGCTTTTAAGTCAGGCACCTGGTAAAAAAAAAAAAAAGTCTTTTATTTTACATGGGTTCTTTCCTATAAGAGAAAATATTAACCTGCCTTAGGGCTGATGCTGGTGCCTGGATGCACCTTTGCAATTCATTAGGCAAATTGCTTCGGCAAACTGCAAGATCTGAGCTTGTGCAGATGACTCAGCCCTTAGATGTTTTGCACCTTCTGCTCCACGCCGGTTAAGTCTCTCACAGTAGCAATTAGAAACAGAAAGTCAAGGAAAACAAACCAAACCGAAAAGTAATTTAGGCAAAGCTGGGGGGAGATTTAAAGTTTGGAGGTATAATGGATTCATGTCACATGTGTCTCGGAAGCAATAAATCCTGCTTAGGGGAATGGCTGGGGAAAAAACACTGCTAGGCTATAAAATTCCACCTCTGAGGATTATAAAACAACATGCACGGAGCAAGCATCCTTTCGGAGCATAATAGGACTGTCAGAAATGATTGACAGCAATGACAATCTATCATAGGCTGCCGTATCGCCACGATAGCATCTTGCACGGGGCTGTCTGGCAGAAATGAAATTGTTTATTCGTTCCTATACTATGTGGAGGATGGAACATGTCATATAGAATAAATGCACCTTTTCTTCCCATCTGCTTTTAGGCACCCACATTATCTAAGTACACCTTTTAGTTCATCCAACACTATTTCAATTCCCTCTCGGATTTCTCCCCCCTCTCAGGGCGGCTATGGAGATGACGACTTGCTAAGCGCTGTTTTGGGGCACGCGATGCCTTTGTACCCCCAGCCTGACGTCTGGAGGCTGCTGCAGACCTGAAACAAATAGGAGAAATGAGCAATCTGGATGCAAAGCTCCAACCCTCACTCAGAGGGAGGGTGATGCTCCTTCTCCAGAGCTCTGCCCGCCTGGCAGCGAGCACACGGGGCAGCAAGCAACCCCTCCGACGGGGGATTTTTGTGATGAGGAAATCCTATCCTGGGTGCGTAATGGATGGAGACCACCGGGGTCAAGAGATCCCTGCAGATTGTAATGACTTTCATTAAATCACTCTCTTCCCCGGGCAGAATTTGAGCTGAAAGCCTATCGCTGAGAGACTCCGCGCAGCTTATTACCCATCCCCGCGTGCAGTTTAACAGCGCTGACAGGGCTGATGTACCGGCAGCCGCTTCTCGGCCAGCCCGCACTGCAGCTCCCGGCACCGCGCTTACACTCATCTTTGCCAGTGCTACTTCAGCTGACATTTCTGCAGGCAGGAGGAGTGCAAAATACACAAGGTAATGCCCCATTCTCCGTGGGAGAAAGCCCTGTCACATATGGGAGAGGAGATGATTTTTTCCCCATTCAGCAGCTGTTTCTCTGTTCTGTTTTACCAACAAGTGATCTCCAGCACAGCAAATTTCCCCTATAAAGCCACAGTCACTACTGTCACAGTTGCTTGTGTACTGATATTGCAAAAGCCAAGGCATGAAAATCAGTGAAAGGTAGGGTAAATTGATAGAACAGTTGGAGGGATTTTTTTAAAGAGGTTCTTCAGAGAAGCCAAGGGAGACATAAATACGGTCTAATGAAGGGACTGGGCTGGCACTCGGGAGCGTGGGGTCCGCATGCTGGCTACGAAAAAATATGGCTGTGAAACCCTGAACGAACTGCCCAGCACCTCTGTGCTGTGGTTCCTCTCCCCCACGCTGACGAGCACCCCGGCTATTTTGCCTTCCTGGTGGTACATTGCTGGGAGCGGGGACCTTCCCAGACGGGCGCACGTGGTCCCCAGCGCAGCCTGGTCTAAAAACGCTCGCAGCATTTTCCAAAGTGAAAAACTGCACTCGATCGCTTCTGTGATTCATCTTAAGCCAAAAGAAATTATTCGAGCCCAAAGTTGGATCCATGGTGGATCCAAAGCCTTTGCTTTGGCCACATCTCCTGGTGTCCAGGCAGAGTTACTAAAATTTGTACAGTTTCTCTCCACGCCAGAAAGGCAGCAGGCAGGAGACATCACCCCCCCAACTTCTGTGTTTTAAAAGCAGATGAATTGTGTCGGAGAAGCGAGAAATGCCCATTAACCTTCCCCTCTGATCAGTCCAGCTAATTTCTACCCAAAAACTCAAGCTGGATGTTCTCGCCTCGCATGATCTGCCAGCCAACGTTGGGTCCACACCGAGAGAGGAGAAAAGGGAGCATAAGGGCCAAACGCTGGATTTCAGGTTAGATTGTGCAAGGCTCTGTACAAAGACATCTTATTTATTGCTGCAGGGCTCCATCTTGCCATAAAAAACACAAGCTGGGGAGAAACGAGATCAGGTAAGGAAAGGGAAATAATTGCGTTGGTGATATTTTTTCCTCCTGCGTAATTAGAGCCATAGGGCTCTGCAGTAAGGGACAGCACACACCTTTACGCCCACCCTGGTGGCAATATTCCCGTCCAGGTAGCTTGCTGCCAGCCTCAGGTTTCTTTCATTCCTCTGAGCACTTATTTTATCAGAGGTTTTTTTGTACTTGATGTTGTCACCCGTTTAGTTCCATCTTTTCCCTCATCAATACCACTTCCCACCTTGTCATCCTTCCAACTTGAAAATCCCAGGCAAAAAAACCCTGCCCTGTCCTTTCTGGGAAGAGATCCAGGCACATCATGAGGGTGCAGGAGCACTTGACATTTCCCTATCGTTATTAGCATTTCCTAAAGCAGTCGCTTGATCACAGGCAGCACTTAATATGCATTCAGGACAACTGATCAGTAGTGAAGCAATTCTCAGGTGCTATTAAAAAAAAAAAAAAAATTCCTGCACAAGGGGATTATCGATAGGTACCAGTTTTCCCCATATTTATTTTAATCTGCAACATGCAGAAGCCTACAGGGATCTGCCTACTCTCAGGCCCGATTTGCCAAAGGTATTCCCACCTGCAGCACAGGCTCTGGGAGCAAATCCGAATCACCAAAAGAGTTGTCAAGCACTGGAAGGGGCTGCCCAGGGAAGGGGTCGAGTCCCCATCCCTGGGGGGATTTAAAAGCTGGGCAGATGAGGTGCTGAGGGCCAGGGTTTAGTGGTGGGATGGCAGGGTTAGGGGAGTGGTTGGCCTTTGTGATCTTAGAGGGCTTTTCCAAGTTAAACGATTCTATAACCCAAATGCACAATCTAACCCCTCGTGTTCTCCCTCCGTTGGTTTGGGGTAAATGGTGGTGACTTGGCTAAAGACGCCCAGAAGTGACACGAAACTCATAGAAATGCAATCCTGAGCGCAGCTGTACTGGTTTGCTCGCTGCGTACTCCGCAGCCTCCAGAGCCTGGATTGACTGTGCATGCAAAAACATCCAACATTAAAATACACATGTCCCTAATACCAGGGATTCCCAGGCCACTTCTCACAGGCAACAAGACCCCTACCAGCCAGAGGAGTTAGGACCGAAGGTTTTGGAAGTGAGAGGCGCGGATAAGATAACCACCAGACCCCACAGGGGAGAATATGGGAACAAAATACGAAAACGTGTCGCTTTCTCTGCCTACATTCTCCATTTAGGCACGTGTGAAATGCCGGCAGCGAGTCACAGGAACCTGGGCCCTGGGGCCCAGCTGGTTAAGGGAGCGCTGGGCGATCGCAGTAAGGCTGCAGGCACTGACCCATGTCGGTACTTGCAATGGCAACCCGGGTTTAGCATGGGATAGCCATCGGGAAAAGCCCTGAATAGGATTATTTTGCTAATCCTTATAGGAATAATTTCCTCCTCTTTTATTTACTTGTTAGGCTTCTAATGAGAGGCGACAGGCACAAGCTGCAATAGGGGAAATACCAATAAGATGTTCAGAAAAACAAAAAAACCTCCTGTGCGAGTGGCCGAAGTGTGGAGCAGGCGCTTGGGATCCCCACCCCCGAGGAGCTTTGAAGTGCTCAGGACAGTCTCAGAGACATTTTGCCAAATTTTAGGGCTTATTGGAGGAGAAGGGAGAGGAGAGCACCCTGTTTTCAAAACAACCCTCCAATACAAGCTGTCATTTTCCATCAAGACTTTACAAAGACTAAAAGGGAATATAAAAAAAATAAATATACTGAATATTTCAAAGGGGTTTTTTTTTACAGGATGAAGGAAGTGCAGGGTAACACAATAAACCTACAGAGCGAGAGATTTGATGTCAAAGCAGCAAAGGCACAAAGAAACATCTGCACATCATTTCATGACTTTTAATGGGCATTTTAGAGCACAGCTAAACCAAGAGCTCAGTTCTGTGTCTGGCACTTCTAAAACTGGCGTTCAGCACAAGATGCTGAAAATGCTTTTCTTTTACTCAGGCTGGCGCTGGATTCCCACCAATGGCTCCATTGCTGCATTTTCTCCTGAAACTTCCGAGCAATTTTCAGCCTTCAGTTTGAGCTCCAGGCCCATCACAAGCTGCACGCTCCGTGCACTGAGATGCCCTTCCCGCAGCTGCGGTTTTCAGAAGCCAAAGTCATTTTTAAACAAATGGCAGGGACTAATGTTTTCCACTGCTAAAACCGCCCGTAAAAATGCCTCCGGACCTGTACAATGTGTCTTCCTCATGTCCTAACAGATGGGAGTTTATTGATTTCCTACCTGTGCATCCATTAGGAGGTGCCTCATCAGCATCATGGCATTTCTCAGAGATTCCTTTTCGCTAGGCAAAAAGGCATCTTCGTCTTCATCCAGTGTTTTTGACTTGCTGACGATAAAATGGGAGATCTGGTCGTTCAAGGAATGCAGCGACTCCACGGCTGTGGAGACAGAGAAGGAAAGCAAAATGGGAATGAAACCGTGCTGGAGGGAGCTAAAACCATTTCCCCAGTTTGAGACGAGCTATGGAGCGCACTCTCCTTTTGAAAAGTGTAGGCAAAATTGTTCCCCGTTACCGCCCTTGTCCTCTCTGCTGAGGACCAGCAAAGGCATGGTAAAAATGGTGACTACTGTAAAATCAAATATCGATGGAGAACTGCAACCACAACAACAGGATGATGCAGTCTAAATTAACACTATAGTGTAAATTAACTTTAAATTAACTGTAAATAACAGTATAGTGTTACTTTTTGGCTGCTTGCAGGTATGAGCCAGATTCAATCAGAATCGAAACCCCGCAGTCTCACTGCTCCCCCCAATCAATCCACCTGCAGCTGATTTTCCCCATGTGATAAGATTTTGCAGCACCAAAGTTGTATTTTTAATAGTAAACGCGTGCTGCAATGGACATGAGGGTTACGAAAGTATTGAGCTATTGCTATAAGGATCAATAATTATAAATAACCTATAGACATACATACATCTGTAAGTAAAAATAGGTATTTTATTAGCTAGGGTAGGAGAAAGCAGGACCAACAACTAAAATATTGCTCATTTTCTTTCTTCACGATTATCGGTATTTGAAACACTGTTAATCTTTTAAATCCTCCTTCATACAGTCACAACCCAGATGTTATAAGTGGGATTCTGCTCCCAGTCATGCACATCAGGAATCTCCACCTGCACGGTGGGCAGAAGTCCCCCAGCAATTCCACCCACTTTACGATGCTGCAATTTCTATGGGCTGGAATGATACAAACTAATGGCAAAATTTATTTCTGCCTGATGCAAAGCTTTGCATTCCTATAGATTTGAAAAGCCTGTGATCTCAAGTTTTGAGTTTTCATTTTTACTGCTTCATTAAATAAGTGAGGCTCAAATAACCCTTCGGTGCATTTTCTTTCTGCCGGTGGTTCACGCAGTGAAACCCTTTGATAAGCTTGCGGCGCAGAGTAACACATCACTGTCACATGTGGAACGGTGGTGCTTCAGCTGCAAATCCCGACGTGCTCAGGATGTTTGCAAAGAAGGCAATGTGATATTTAGGACTCTCTGACAAACTGATTTTAAGAACACAAGGCAACTGAAATACGCTCGACCCAGTTCTGTCCAAAGATCGCACCACAAAATTCAAAGTAGCAAAGTCTAGCCAGAAATCACACTCATTATGGACCAAATCTTCCCCAGACAAAAGGTCCATAACAAATAACAGGTATGTCTCCAAAATGCAGGACTGAAAGACCAGAATCCTCCTTACGGAGAGCATTTATTTTTGATTAAAAAAGAAAAAAAAGACAGTAAAATCTCTGCCTTGCAAAGCCTTGGGGAGAGTCTGGGGGGATTTCAGCATTGCAAATTGCTCCTCCAAGCAAAAGGGAGGCTTGCTCCCCCCGTATCAAAGCAACCAAGTCTTGTGTCCTTGGTACCTTCCAGGTACAGCAAATCAGTGCGATGACAAGTATTGCACCGGGGGGGATCGTCTATTAAACTGGTCACGCGATGGACCAGCAGCTCCTCTCGTGATCGCATTTTAAGTAATACACGACCACCAACACACTTGGGAACTCTCTCCCACATCATAGTTTCTGCACGACACAGTTTATCATAGTTATGATGGGAAATTTGGGCCTCTTTCCATAGCACTCTGTCCTGGTCATCGCCAGAAAGAGATTTGAAGGCTTTGATGCATCTCATGCTGCCCTCCCTCTGCACCGCAGACCGGGTGCCTAAAAGCTGCGTTTTCCTCCCGCACTCTCCCCCCACAATTTACAGATATATTTATTTCTTGTTTTGCTACTCTGAGGTTAAACTGGACAAGATCAAGAGCTTTTACTGACAATTCTGTAAGGTCTGGTTTTGTTTAGTTCAGGATGTCAATACCTCATTTACAGCTGAACAGAATAAGAAGATGAAGGAGCCTCAAGAAACACTGCCCGCAGCCAAAACATTTCAGTGCTTCTCTCCAGAACAAAACTTACTGCCAACACGTAGGCAAAAGTCACCTGCACCACAAATCCTCCCTCGCCTTTTAGCCAGCAGGACCCAGCCACGGGGGACGGAGCCTCCGCAGCAGCAGACCCCACCATCAAACCCTGGGCTGAGTGCGGAGGCAGGGCCCGTCCGCAGAGAGGGAGGAAGAAGGGGAATTGGGGGGTGCTCGTGTACTGCTAACAAAGGCATAAAACTGCAATGTGGGCGTGTAAAATGTTTGGTGAGGTCCATGCGTTGCCCATTGATTTCTGGTCTCCTCCTACCCTTATTTTGACAACGTGCATGTCTTGCACCGATGCCAGGGACAACATTTTTAGTTTTCTGCCCACAGTCCTCTGGAAAGTCATAGAATCATAGAATCATTTAGGTTGGAAAAGCCCTCTAAGATCACCAAGTCCAACCCTGCCATCCCACCACTAAACCGTGGCCCTAAGCACCTCATCTGCCCGGCTTTTAAATCCCCCCAGGGATGGGGACTCGACCCCTTCCCTGGGCTGCCCCTTCCAGTGCTTGACAACTCTTTTGGTGATTCGGATTTGCTCCCGGAGCCTGTGCTGCAGGTGGGAATACCTTTGGCAAATCGGGCCTGAGAGTAGGCAGATCCCTATACCAAGCCTCTACATCCACTTCCCGTACTCAGCCATCGAAAAGTTTAAGTGCTTTCTCCTTCCCGAGGCCCATTACCATGGCTGTGTTCACACCACAATAGATTAGGTTCTGTCAGCATTTCTATTATAAATCTCTGCAAGTCAGGCAGAAGGATTCATTCCAGCACAGAGCGTGGTGCTGATGTGATTTATTTTTTTTCCCCTCTAATGAAAACGGAAGTGAGGAACTAAAGCCACGCAGCTTTTGCCTTCTTCGAGCAGTTAGGCTTATTTCTAGAAAGGAAACAAATCAGGGCTTAGCATTCCTCCATTCACAGGTGCACAAGGATTTCCCCAGCACCGTGCCGCTTTCCAAACACAGTTTTACCAAAAATTTGATAACCTAGAAGCAGAAGCTTAGGCCGACCTTGACTACACGATAATTTTGCTTATGGGTGGGACTCATATTGTAAATCACAACCCCCACCAGCATCCTGCTTGTAAATCAAACGCCTTCTCATGGGTCGATGCATGTGAAGCCGGAGTGTCTCAGAGCGATGCTCTGCTGCGGACACCGGGTTTTGCGGCGCAGCAGCATGGCACATAGGCGCGATGGAAACCATGTGTAGCTAAGAATCTCCAAGTCACCATGAAGTAATAATTTTACAATCGTATGTCCTGACTGGCTACAAAAATGATCCGAGGGCTGGAGCACCTCTCCTATGAGGACAGGCTGAGAGAGTTGGGCTTGTTCAGCCTGGAGAAGAGAAGGCTGCGGGGAGCCCTGATTGCAGCCAGTCAGTACCTAAAGGGGGCCTATAGGAAAGGTGGGGAAAATCTTTTTAGTAGGGCCAGCTGTGACAGGACAAGGGGGGATGGTTTTAAACTGAAGCAGGGGAGGTTTAGACTGGATGTAAGGAAGAAATTCTTTACAATGAAGGTGGTGAAACACTGGCACAGGTCACCCAGAGAGGGGGTGGAGGCCCCATCCCTGGAAACATTCAAGGCCAGGTTGGACGGGGCTCTGAGCAACCTGATCTGGTTAAAGGTGTCCCTGCTCCCTGCAGGGGGGTTGGACTGGGTGACCTCTAGGGGTCCCTTCCAACCCAAAACATCTATGATTCTATGATATCAACCAGCACTCCAAAGCCTCAGGAAGCCATAGGTTTTTCCTACAGAACAGCACAGGTCTATGGCTGCACGCAAGCAGCAGCAGGTTTGATTTTCCTATCGCTCCTAGGCTACACTAACATCTCCATCAGACACGTCCGTCCTGGAAGCCATCTTCCCAGCGTTAATGCATGAGCGTTGATTCCTCCCATCCTTTCTGACCAAAGAAGAACTGAGGACTTTTTTTATATCCTGAAATTTTGGCTTGAGCCATAAGCCCACATCTGCTTTCAGTAATATGAATGTACACCAGAGTTATCCTCCTCGAGCGAATGGCTTCCCTCCAGATTTACACTGACTTTGACCAGAAACTGGTACGTGGAACAGTTCTCCCAGGCTTTATGATTTTAAACTAATTCAAACCAAGCAAAATTATATTATCCTAAATTATTCTAACCTCTTATCCGAAGCAATAGCTCTATGTTCTCTGACATTTCTTCTCTTATCCTTTGGGAAGTTTAGTGTTGTTTGAGGAATATGTGGCACATTGAGCTCTGGGCAGCCAATGCTTCTCTCATTTGTAATTCTCTAGGTTTCGAGAGGTACCAGAGAAATCAGGAGAAATATTTTCTAGTAGGAATGCAGAAAAAGTAGATCAGTATTTGACTTGTGCTGGTTTTCATAAGCATCTGCCATAGCACTAAGTTTAAACTCTGCTTAGCAAAACAAAGCTTTTTCCATGCAGACAACAGAAACTGCATTTGAAAATAAAATCGTCTGGGTCTTCCTTGTGAAAGCAAAACGTGCATTTCCGAACCTCCGGCCTGCACAGAAAGTAAAAACTAGGGAAGCCTAAAAACCCCAACAATCTCTGACACTGGTTTTGCAACACAAACTTCCAAAGGGCCCTTCTCATAAGCAGGAGGTGTTTGACATTTCTCATTTAAATCAAGAGGAACTTCTTGCCTTGTGCCCACAAAAAATCTAAGCAAGAAGGATAATGAGGCAAACCCTCCATCCCCCTCAACGCTGAGCCTTAAACACTTCTGCTGAGCAACACTTCAACTGCAAACACAGGTATGGTTCAGCTCAGATTAAATGATACTTCTTCATCCCCTAAAAAAAAAAAAAAAGGAAAGAAAAGAAAAGAAAAAAATAGACAAGTTTTCCCTTGCTGTAGCAGTCGTCATGGCCTCAGCTTGATAGCACATCAGTAACGCTGCAAGCGAGACAACCAGCTCTGTAAAAGTTAG